CTGTAATTTGCAATAATAGTATTAAAATCTTTTAAAACAATAGAAAATTATTTAACTAACCATAATAATTTCCCATTTTTGTTCATCAGGATAATTCAGTTTTAACATGTGGTTGCTTACAACAAGAATATCGGTCATAAGGCGAATTCATTGAAGTTTTTCTAATAAAATATATATGCTATTCCATCTGGTATCTACATCAGCTTGAGGCATTAAAAATAGTTGATTTTTTATTTCAAATATTTGTTTTAATTCTCTGATTAGTGACAGAGAGTTTCGAAGCCTAATAGAAAACTCTCGCGCTTTAGAAATTTCTTTACTGACTGATTTAATTCCTTCTTTAACAATGATATTTAGAATATGTATGCCACAGCAAAAATGCTGCACATTAATATTACTAAATTCATTATGCATTCTTTCTTTTAGAACATAACCTATAGCAATCATATTGGAAGCATTGTCTGTCGTTACTCCTAAGAGCTTATGGCCTATATTCATTTTTGTTAAAAGTTCAATTATCGCATCAGTTTGGTTGACCGCAGTATGTGCTTGATTGAAAGAAATAATGTTTAATAAAATGTGCTGCATTTTCCACTCAGGATCTACCCAATGAGCAGTTACACCAAGGTAGGGTTGTTGTGTGCAGAACGTCTAGCCGTTCATAGTAATTAAAATTTTTGATGGAACATCGTTAAAAAAAGCGATAATTTTATTTTTACTATTAATATACTCTTGACTGACCCAAGTTGAGATTGTTTGGCCACATGGGGTTTTGTATCTTAGATCAAGTTCATGTAAAAAATTAATAAATTCAGTATTTTCGGCCAACAAAAATGACTGTTGGTCAACGATTACCCATTTTAAAAGTTTATTATTTATTGTATTTATTTTATATTTGTCATTTGGGTCATAAGGGTCAAGTCGTCGAAGTTTATGCTGTTTAATTTTAGTAAACTCTGCAGGATGGAAGTTTTGAAAATACCGATTAATAGTCGATATTGCAGTCAGGTTGCCAAACGTCTGTTTACATAATTTACATCTTTTACCTCCATCAGGAGTTGATAAAAGGTAATCTCTAACAGGTGCTCGATTATTTGTGGAAGAGGTAGAAATATTACTTAGTGTTTGATTAGTATTATCTGATAAGGGTGCGATTTCATCACTTGTAGTTTCTTCACTAGAGGTTTCTAATTCTTTGTCTATGGATTCGATATAATTTGTTATCATAGATTCCGATTCGTTTGTTTTCATTTTTTATTTTATTTTT